AACCCAAGTTTGTTTGAAGCTTTTAAGAAAGATATGTCTCGTGAGTTCGAGATGATAGATGTAAGGCTCATGTCATACTACTTGGGCCTAGAAGTGAAGCAGATGGAGGATGGAATTTTCATATCTCAAGAAAGCTATACAAAGGAGATCTTGAAGAAGTTCAACATGCTCGATTGCAACCCTGTGAACACACCGATGGAGAGTGGGATAAAATTGTCCAAGTTTGATGAAGGAGAAAATATGAATCCCATATTTTTCAAAAGTTTTGTGGGAAGTTTGAGGTACTTGACTTGTACCAGGCCAGATATATTCTTTGCAGTTGGAGTAGTAAGCCGCTTCATGGAAGCTACTACCTCTACCCATTTGAAAGTAACTAGAAGAATTCTTCGTTACCTAAAAAGTACGATCGACTTTGGGTTATTTTATTCTTCTTCTAATAATTTCAACCTTATGGGATTTTGTGATATTGATTACGCAGGAGATATTGATGATAGAAAAAGCACAAGTGGCTTTGTGTTTTTCTTAGGTGATTCTGTTATTTCTTGGAGTTCAAAGAAACAGTCCATAGTTACTCTCTCGACTTGTGAAGCCGAATATATAGCAACAACATCATGTACCTGTCATGTTATTTGGCTAAGAAGATTATTGAAGGTGCTCAATTTGCCACAAATTGAAGTTACAGAGATTTGTATTGATAACAAATCTGCACAGGCACTCGCCAAGAATCTGGTGTATCATGATCGAAGCAAGCATATAGATACAAGATATCACTTCATCAGAGAGTGCATTGCCAAGAAGGAAGTCAAGCTCAAATATGTGAGGTCTCATGATCAGGCTGCAGATATCTTTACAAAACCTCTTAAGTTTGAGGATTTTCAGAGATTGAGATCAAGTATTGAAATGAAAAAGAAAAATCAAAATTAAGGGAGAGATTTGTGGGGCTCATATTAAAGAAAAACAAAGAAGAAATGGGAGGTGCCTAACTTTGTTGACAACTTTATTGAAGAAAATGGGAGGTGCCTAATTTTGTTGATAACTTTGTTGAAGAAAATGGGAGGTGCCTAACTTTGTTGACAACTTTGTTGAAAAAAATGAGAGGTGCCTAACTTTGTTGAAAAATTATAGGACTAAATCAACAACAAGACATCTTTTTTATAGTAGTTGAATGACATCTCTTACTATAAATAGATGCCTCCATTCTTCATTTCAATCACACCAAAATAAGAGAGAAGCAATAGAAGTTAGAGAGAGTAATGCACAGATTGTAGTCTGTGAGATAAATAGTGAGTGTGAGTAATATTGTAGTGAAGCGTTTTAAATAAAGAGTGTTATTTCTTTCAAGATTGTAGTAGTCTCTTGACACTATTAAGTTGTGATATTATAGTGGTTATATTGCTCCGCTCGGATATTATATTTTACCCATTAAAAGAGTTAGTATCGTTGTTATTTTCTTATGTTATTATTATTTGTCTTGGCTATTATTCGTGGGCGTAATTATTATTTTTCCACTAAAATTGGAGGGCTTGAGTTCTCTGGTGGGGGAATGCAACAAGAGCAAATGCAAAAGCAAGAGGGTACAGAGGAGAGAAAAGCTCCATCTTTGGAGGAAATTGCACAGCAGAGGGCAACTGCACAACAGAATTCAATGGATGCGTTGACAGCTGCTGAAGAGCGCTACGAAAAGGCTAAGGAATTGGGGGCTTCTGCTTTGCATGATGCGAAAGAATCGGCGAGTCATGGGCTTGACGCTGCTGGTTATTATGGGGCACAAGCCAAAGACACTGTTAGTCATGGCGTTTAAATTAGATCTGAGTATGTTGCTCATAAAGCTGTAGCTGCCAAGGATACCACCCTTGAAAAAGGTCAGTAAACTTATAGGTGGATGCAACCTATACTTCAACCTATGCAACCTAATCTAGCCAAATATTTTCTGCCAAGACAACAGCCCTTGAGAAATGTCAGTAAGACTGTAGCTTATGCTTTAACGTTGTAATTAAATTCAGTATTTTCAACATGGAGTGTGTGTGTGTGTGTGTGTGTGTGTGNCCAAATATTTATTTTGAACTCTTAATTTTTGAGGTACAATGAGTAGAGTTCAGTACCAGGAACTTTGAAGTATGAACTCAATGTGAGAATATACTGTAAGTTTTGAAACTATTAAATTTTGATCAGCAAGAAGGTACAATGAGTCGAGTTCAGTAAGCAAATTCGTGCTTATGCCTCTGCTTATACTGCAACTAAAGATACATATTCAAGTGCAGGTGCACAAGCCAAAGACACTATTGTGCACAATGTTCAAATTGGATCCGAGTACGTCGCAGACAAGGCTGGAGTTGCAAAGGGCACTGCGCTTGAGAAAGGCCAACAATCTTATGCTGCAACTAAAGATACCCTAGCAAGTGCAGGACAAACTGCAGTGGAATCAGCACAGAAGGAAAAAGATTACACCCTGCAAAAAGCAGGGGAAACAAAAGATTATGCTGCCGGAAAAATCAGTACTGCAGCTCAGTCAACAACTCATTACGCTGGCGAAAAAACTACACAAGCCAAACAGAGTCCAGCAGAACTAAGCAAGACGGCTGCAGAGAAGACCAAGAATGCAGCAAGTTATGTTGGGCAGAAAGGTGTCGAAGCTAAAGACGCTGCAGTGGAAATAGGAAAAAGCGCGGTAGGAAATGCAGGGGAAGTAGCTGAAACCGCAAAGGATAAAGTAGAAATTGCTGGTTTAGGAGCTGCACATTATACTGCTAAAACAGCAGCAGAGGCGACCAAAGCCACGGCTGATGTTGTTTCTAGGGCTGCAGGGTATGCAGGAGAGAGGGCGGTCGCGGCGAAGGATATGGTAGCTGATGCGGGAAAGAGCGCCGTGGAATATGCAGGGCATAAGTTGGCTGCTGCCAAAGATTATGTAGTTTCAGCTGAAGAAAGTGCAGCTGATTATACGGCTAGAAAAAGAGCAGAAGCTGAGAGACAATTAGAAGGTAATTCCAAGGTAAATATGAGGATAATTGCTACTACTATATTTTTATTTACAGTCACAGTTAGTGATCATTTTAGCTTCACTCTACGAAATGCTGATTATAATTATTAATACCATGTTTTTACGTGCTAGTTTTCTGTTTCACTTCACAGAGCCCCGAGTCTTTTAAATTTAAAGATTCTGTTGTAATATTTTTGCCATAATCAAGACTTCCTAAGTTTTAGGTTCTAATATGCCCAAATTTTCATGACATTTGACATGACATAATATTCATTATAACAAATTTGTGGTTCATGATATTTGCCATAACATAATATCCATTATAACAAATTTGTGGATCATGACATTTGCCATGACATAATATCCATTATTAGGCCAATAATTTCTTGCTATAAATAGAGGAGTTTCTTCTCATTTGCAAACACACCAATTCAAGATCTTTTCACTCTTGTCTTTCTTTCTTCTCATTTATTTCATTATAGAGTATTTTGTAAGAGATTGAGTGTTGGGAAACACTTGTGTGAACCCTTTCTTTGGAGTGATCTTGTGAGGTTATTCTCTTGGGGTATTTGGGATTAATTAGAGTATTTACTCTAATTTTGTACTCTCTTTTGTACTCTTGTTGGTATAGTGAAATTGCTTCTCTCCGCTTGTGGACGTATGTCACCTTGACCGAACCACGTTAAATTTGTGTCTTCTTTATCTTCTTTAATTGCCGTTATTATCAACTTTCATTGTCTTTGTTATTGTCATTATACCGTTGTTTGGCTAAATTTCGCACTACCCGGGTTCTCGATCCTAACAAATTGGTATCAGAGCCAGATCTCACCGGGTTAGTTTAAATAGCCAAAATGACTCTAACAAAGTCTTATGTTGAGAAATTTGACCGAAGTGCAAACTTCGGAATATGGCAATTAAAGATGGAAGCTATCCTAATTCAGGATGGCTTAGATTTGGCACTGCAAGGAAAGGCAAAGATGCCGGATAAAATAACGGACGAGGAGTTTGCCGTCATAGACAAAAAGGCAAAAGCAGGTATTATTTTAAATCTTTCAAATGAGGTTTTGCGTGAAGTTGCAGAAGAAAGCTCAGCCAAAGGCATATGGGAAAAGCTTAAAACCTTATATATGAAAAGAACAGTAGAAAACAGGCTTTACCTAAAGTAAAAACTCAACACTTTTCGTATGGCTGAAGGTACATCTATACTTACTCATCTTGATACTTTCGATTCTATTCTTATGGATTTAAGTAACATAGATGCTGAAATCAAAGATGAGGATCAAGCTATGTTATTGCTTGTTTCCTTACCCTAGTCGTTTAAACATATAAGAGATACTATGCTTTATGGAAAGGATAATACCTCTTATAAAGATATCAAATCTATTTTGAAATCAAAAGAACAAATAAATAGAGATATTACTGGGAAAACTAGTGGGAACCAAGGGTAAGGCTTATTCATAAGAGGTAGATCCAATAAGAAAGATTCAAGTAGTGAGAAACCTAAATCAAGGTCAAAATCCAGATACAGAAATGTCATGTGCAAATATTGTCATAAGAAATGTCACATTATTTCTGAATGCTTTAAATTGAAAAACAAAGAAAAGCATACAGAAAAGAAAAATGAGCACAAAAATATTGACACTGCCGAAGCAAGTGTAGTTGCTGATGAGACTGAGGAAATTATTTTTTTAGCAACTAATAATAGTTTCAAATCTAACAATGAGTGAATTTTAGATTCGGGTTGTTCTTATCATATGTGTCCCAATCGGGATTTATTTACCACATATGAATCTATTGGAGGTGAAATTATCTTGATGGGCAGCAATGCTGCCTGCAAAGTTATTGGAAAAGATACAGTCCGAATCAAGATGCATGACGGTGTGGTGAGAACTCTCACCGATGTTAGACATGTTCATGACTTGATGAAAAGTCTCATCTCTTTGGGCAATCTAGAATCTCTTGGGTGCAAGTACACAGGTGAAGGTGGAGTTCTAAAAATTTCTCATGGTGCTATTGTGATCATGAAAGCACGTAGATATGGTATGTTGTATACTCTTTTGGGATCTACTGTTACAGGTGCTGCTGTAGTTTCAATATCAGATAAATCAGATTCTGACATCACCAAATTATGGCATATGCAATTGGGGCATATGGGCGAGAAAAGTCTTTCCATCCTCAGTAAAAGAGGTCTCTTATGTGGCCAAAGTACCGAAAATATGGAGTTCTGTGAACATTGTGTGTTCGGGAAGCAGAAAAGAGTCAGCTTCAAATCTCCAGCGATTCATAGAACAAAAGGTACTTTGGATTACATTCATTTAGATCTTTGGGGTCCTTCACGTACCCCATCAAAAGGTGGTGTCAGGTATATGTTAACTTTCATTGATGATTATTCAAGGAAAGTTTGGGTTTATTTTCTGAAAAATAAAAGTGATGTTTTTTTAAATTTCAAACAATGAAAAGTTTTGATTGAGAAGCAAACATGAAAATAGGTTAAGCGACTTAGAACAGATAATGGCTTGAAATTTTGTAATAATGAATTCAACGAAAGAATGAATGGAATTGCTCGACATCGTACTGTGAGAATGACACCTCAGCAAAATGGTGTGGCAGAAAAGATGAATAGAACTCTTTTGGAAAGGGCTCGTTGCATAATTTCAAATGCAGGGTTAACAAACGCCTTTTGGGCAGAAGCTATCTCTACAGCTTGTTATATTATCAACCGAGCTCCTTCTGCACCTTTGAACTTTAAGACTCCAGAGGAAATGTGGTCAGGTACTCCTGCTAATTATTCTGATTTAAATATATTTGGTTGCCCTGCATACATGCATGTAAATGATGGAAAATTAGAGTCAAGGGCTAAAAAGTGCATTTTCCTTGGGTATGCATCTGGGGTGAAAGGATACCGACTATGGTATCCTGATCC